TAAGAATTTATTTTAAAGTTCAATTAGACTGAAATACAAATAAAAAGACTGAAGTGAGATGAACAGACTGGAAATCTTTCCTTATTTGACAAAACAGTTTTTGATTTAGTTAGGTGTAGTGGACATAATATGCAGTTAAAAATCTTAATCGCAATATATTGTATCGCAATCCTCAGCGTATCGCAAAATGTTAAAAATCGCAATAGAATCGTATCGTGTCTCGAGTATCGCGATAATATCATATCGCTGGGACTCTGGTGATACCCACCCCTAGCAGTTAACCAGTGCAGGTTTGGGGTTCTTCCCATCATTGTGTGTAAACCCTGCCACGTCTCCCTTACATTTCCAGAAGTTTATTTCTGCTCCATCCTGTTTCTGTAGTTGTTTCTCCTTCTGAACCCTTTCTCTACTTCCTTTACCCTGAGATTGTCAGGGTAAAAAAAAGCCCTTTTCTTCTGGACCAGGCAGAGTTTCATGTCTCTGTTACCCCTTTTTTATTGTTTGGGTGGATGGTTTGAGTGTTTAGTGGGAGTTACAGTGTCCTCACAGATTGTAATATAAGAGGTAAACATCTGCCAACATGTTGGGATCACTGCCGCAGTCATTAAAGAACAAATCCCAGTCAGTCAGTTCAAAACCACCTTTTTACTGTTTCAGTTGCTTCTTTATTCCAGACTGATGGTTTTTTTTGATGGGTTTACCTGTTTTCAGTTGTGACCTGTATCTTGGCAGTAACAACATGACATTGTGGTCAGAGCGGCCAAGAAGTGGGCTTGGTTTTGAAATGTATGCATCAGAGATGTCTAAATAACCCTTCTTCATATTTCCCCTATTGTGTTTACTCCCTTGGATTGCCACTTGGTCCAGTATACTGTTCTCTTTCAAATGCGTAAATTAGGGTTGTACCAGAATGAATAGTATAATTGATTGGATTGTGATATTTTATACTTTCTATGAACCATACTCCACACACACTTGAATAGGGAATTATGGGATTTAAATAATTTTCCACCAGTTGGGATAAAATGGCATCAGTATGGGGTCGATTTGCTCTGACCCAGTGACTATTTGTACTCGTCAAAATAGCATAAAGATGACTTCAATTACACAGTTAGGCTAATCGCTGTCTGCGCAGATGTAACGCTTAGCAATAAATATTTGTGTGTGCATTGAAATAGATTTGTGAATCCTTCTGTGTTCATTCATGAACAATGAGGCTGATTTAACGCCATAGAAAAAACCTCATCACCTGATATGGCATATTCATAATAAAAGTATACATAACAAATGAGGACTTTTATTGTGAAGAACTTTCAGGACATTGTACACAATGCACAATGTATTTAGGGGAGCTACACTCAGCAGTGATTTTCAATAACACAGCAGGGAGTTACAGCACTTTCAGCCGACCTTGTGACCACAAGTCACTGCCACAAGTCACTGCCACAACCGGCAATTTTAATCATCTTGGACTGAGGACAAGTGGGACATAATTTTAAACACTTCCTATGTCATGAGTGTGCCATGTTTTGGATGGCAGCTACGAGCTAAGCTAACTATATCAGGTTAGTATCTTGGGTTCTGACAATCAGTGAATGGTACCAAAATGGCTAAGATTTTTGAGCTGAGACTCCACCACCAGAAAAGTATATTGCTGCCCTATTAATAATAAATAAATACTGACAATGTGACATGCTTGAACAATAAACAAACAACACAAATACATATACTGTATGGAAAAATAAAACATTTCTGCCAAATTAGCCGCATGGCAAAAAGGCAAAATAAATTCCCCCATTAAAAAAAAAAAGAGAAAGAAAGGGAGACATGGCCATTATCAAGCTCTTTGCTGTGCCACCTGACATACCTGGCTGTACTCCTGTCATTGGCTGCTCCTTTTTCTCCCTCTCATACCTGAGAAGTTATCGCCACCTGCTGTTGCAATTTCGTCTTCCCCACATCTTTCCAGAATTAACTTTTCAGCTTCCGTGCTGTGGGAGAGGGATTTTGACTTTTCAGCCAGTTTTCTTGACATGTCTGGGAAGAAACAAACTTCACAGCCATTCCACATTATTCCTATTATTGCCTTGGCCGCTTGTAGCATTTTCTCTATTGCCAAGGAGTGCAGGAAACGCATCTTCACCATCCTGGGGGGTCTGTCCTCACTGCGGGTACTTCTCATGTCTCTTGGATGCATGGAGAGACGCAAGGAATCGAAGCCGAAGAGAGAGGAACGTCACGTGAAGCGATATCTGTTTGTGATGATGAAATCAGCTGATCACCACTCAGCTTTCAGTCGGCTTTAACAGCTGTTTGTGTCTGCTCACATGTGCACTGCATTAATTCTAATAAAAAACACACAGTAACAGTGTTAGTGTCTGTATGTTACCTGATAACAACTGCATATGAAGAACAACCTGCAGTCTGTTAAAACATACGGGCCATTTCTACTATTTACAGTATTTACCTTACTTATATGAAACTTTATTAACATAATAAATACAAGGCTTGTTTCTGACTGACACACCGACTCCAACTCTTGTCAGCCTGTCATTCTCATCATAATAGGATAAAATACTGACTGACTGACAATGGAAAGAAAACATTTCTGTTGTAATAATGGGGATTGTTTATGATCTTTTGATTTTGACACTTTAAATTCACCATCTTTTGTTTGATGATGATTCTGAAAACAAATCAAATATAAAACTGGTGGGGATTGGCCTGTAGGCTACTCCATTATATTGATTTAAAGGAATTTATGCTGAATATATCGTTGTTAATCCTCATTTTTTTTAATCCCTGCTAATCACAGACTGACTCTTTAGAAACTGACATGTGTTTACAGTCTGTTAAGCGTCTTTTTAATCTAATTCTTTTCTCTGTTATTAAACTCAGCTAATGTTGATAAGTTTCATTGGAGTCTGATCCGCTGCAGCGTCCAATCCATGAGTGATATTCGATACGGGGGGCGTGTCTGTCAGTAAAAAGACGGTCCAGAGTTATTTCCTTGAACCTCATTCCTCGATCCTTGCTCCTCTGTCAAAATAAAAGACTTCCATCCTTTAACATGGCGGCACGGAACGACTTCCAGTTCTTGCTTGGCACTCACGTGACATCAGGGTGGCATGGAGTAGTCTGACGTCTCTAAACCAAAGGGTTGGAGGCTTGATCTCCCCTGCTTTGTTGGTGCCGTTTAAGTGTGTATGACGGTGTAAAAGCACTTTGGGTAGTCAGAAGACTTGATAGTAAATGGACTTGAGCTTGTACAGTGCTTTTCTAATCAGTTATTTTTAACGTTCATTTAAAAACTGTAGTAGTAAGATTTTGCCACAATAAGGACATCAATTCAGTATTTATATTGCACACAAGTATTTTAAATTTCAAATGATTTTATTTTTAGTAGATTAATTATAAGCCTTTTTCAATACTCTATATATTTAAATAGTCGTGTTTTTTTGACTGGAGCATAAAAACTCTTCATGTCTTTACCCTTTAATTATCATTAAGTAGTCTATAGTGCGCCCTGTGATACATCTCAAAGTACGTTTGAGCTGTTCTATCACACACCTAAATGCTGTTCAGTTAAAGTGAGAACTTTGTTTGCTGAAAATGTTAATTTAATATTATTAATTTTAGGGTTGTTGGGAGGTTGTGTGTGACTACAGTAATTGTGAGAGACAAGGGAGGACAGTAGTAAGTAGACAGTAGTGTCGACCAGCGGCAAGATTCAACCCGCACAGGTGCGCTGGACATCTGAAATGCATCTGACCGTTACAAATGTACCTCCATCTCTCTCTGAAGAGCAGACTGAACTATTTCTGCACCCAAACTTGTCTTACATGTTCCTTCCTTTCTGCGCAAAACATTAAAATCACAATTTTAACTGACAACTACTTTGTTTATGAATAGCTTAAAATACACTGTAGGCCTATTTCAACACACATTTTACGCAGGAGGCAAATATATTCATAAAAGAATATTATTTATTATTGACTGTTGGCAGCCACACTGTAGGACTAATAAGGGCTGGCACTTACACTCCACACAACACTGACATTTACCCTTTCTGTGCTGAACTCCAATAAATAACAGAATATCTGTTAATGTAGGCCTACAGCTGCTTGCTGTTGTTTCAGTACTGAACTATAACGGAATATCGAGTGGAACTTTTAAAAAGACGAGGCGTACCCCTGTTGTTGTTTAGGTCAGTGCGCGCACGAGCAAATATTAAGCAGATTAAAGTTGTATGTTGCAAAAACTAGATTAATTTAGAGGGGAAAACACATTTGATATAAATACAACCCAATAGATACAAGACAGATAAGATAAGAGTAGGCTACGACAAAAGAAATGACATTTTATGCTGAACGTTTTTTTTTTTGTTTTTTTTTTTAATATTGTGGAGATTTCTTTGCGTACCACCACAGGGAGCCCGCGGACCACCGGTGGTACGCGTACCATAGTTTGAGAACCACTGATCTAAAGCATTCACACACTACAAGATATGAAAATGATGGCACATCACATGCTACAGGATTTTATTTAGATTATCGTGGAAGGAAGGAACGCACCACCTCACGTGACTTCATAAACAAAGTAGTTGTCAGTTAAAATTGTGATTTTAATGTTTTGCGCAGAAAGGAAGGAACATGTAAGACAAGTTTGGGTGCAGAAATAGTTCAGTCTGCTCTTCAGAGAGAGCTGGAGGTACATTTGTAACGGTCATATGCATTTCAGATGTCCAGCGCACCTGTGCGGGTTGAATCTTGCTGCTGGTCGACACTACTGTCCTCCCTTGTCTCTCACAATTACTGTAGTCACACACAACTTCCCAACAACCCTAAAATAAATAATATTAAATTAACATTTTCAGCAAACAAAGTTCTCACTTTAACTGAACAGCATTTAGGCGTGTGATGAAATGCTGCATAGCCAGAATCAGCTCCCAGCCCCTCTATCAGGTTAATCCATGTTTGTGCCTTCAATCTTTTCTACAGGAAACCAAGGATCAACTCCCAGCTTGTTGCTCAGCAGGTGGCTCAGCAGTATCCAATGCCCCCCCCACCAAAGAAGGAGCGAAGGGAGAGGAGCGAACGATTAGACAAGGAGCGCCTAGACTGCGAAGGGGAGCCAACCAACGAAGAAGGGCGTCCAGAGATCGAGCGTCCAGAGGGAGACAGGCCAGAGGTAGACACTCCTGTAAAGGAAAAGAGTGACAAGGAACAGCCAATCAAAGACAAGCCTGATACAGAGAAAGATATCAGCCCAGCTGTTACAAAGAAGCCTTACAGCAAAAAGACAAGGTGAGTTGGTCAGTTTTTACTTGCGTCTGAATGTTGCCTATGTGGGTATTATCTTCACTGGTGTTCTCTTGTTTTTTTTAGAGAGCCATCCCTGACACACCAAGGAGATCGTCAACCGTCGGTCCAACGGTGAGCGTTCGTCGCCCTTGTTTTGGTGGTGTGTCCAGCTCCGTCGCTACCTGTCAGCCCCGTCAGCATTTTTTCAGCCGTTTCGACATTTTGAATCGGCGTCGGCGCGGTTGGTGAGAGGAATCACTCTGATTGGCTGTTTAGATAAACAAATCAGTGCTTGATAAGAAAAACTGAAGTAACAAAAGCAAGTAAACGACTTTTTATCAGACATTATTCTCGACTAGAGGTACCTATATTGAGTGGTGAGCGACAGCGGTGTGAAAATTGTCTTCTCTTATCAAAACAACGGTTTATATATCTGCATTCTTCTCCGTCCTCGTCCTCTTCCGGTGTACCCTTGTTGGAATGAAGATCACAGCCTGCTGGCATGGAGAGTTATTTCCTCTCACGCATGCGCAAGAACGTATGTGGTGGTTTGCCTTTGGCTGTAGTCTTTGTGTTCAAGTGCAACTTTTTGGCCAAGACAAAAGGCGTTGTAAGGCGGCTTTCGTCGCCCCTAGTTCTTTGCCGTCTGCTTGGTGTGTCAGGGCCTTTACTAACAGTGTCCTCTACTTCCACTACAACTTCTCTTGGAAGACTTGGAGTCCTTTCATTTCCAGTTCAAGACAGGACTGACAGGCATCATGATGCATTGTAAATGTCTGAGCCACCAGGATGGAACTGTGCTGCTTTTGTATGTGAGGCCAGCACTGTTTGTTTAAATATTAAATAAATCCACCGTAAGAAAGCACTTTGGCAACAGTTGAAGGAAAAAACATCATTTAGAAATGCAGAAACAGGCTCATGTTGAACAGCCATCAGCTCGTACTGTACGGCCCAGAGGGAGGCAACGAGAAAGAAAGGGGGAAAGCAAAGAATTAGAAGGTGTGTGATCATGAAATCTACACCAAGAGCTACAGCTCTGTAACGAGCACTTCCCAAGCACAACACACATTTCTGCTGCTGTTTTAAACACACCTGGTACGCCCAAACTGTTGGATATTTCTTTTCAATTTAGAGATTTATCTCCGATGTCCCTGTAGGTCCGTAAACTAGAGCTCAGGAAAGTGAGACACCGTTTGTTGTGGTCTGATCTTCCCTCCTGTTGGACGCGCGGAGGTGACTTCACAGAGCGCCGCTCCCCAGTTGAAATTTTTTTTTTTTACTTCAGCTTAGCGCGCAAGAACTGCAAAGGAGACCTTGCACTGTGCTCAGCTCATCGGGGCGCAGACACACTCTTGCGCAGAGCAACGCGCGCTACCTTTAAGGGTAGCCTGAAAATAAGGAAATCGAATAATCAAGAATTCTGGATTCTGGAATTCTAAAGTGGTGCATTCCACTTTGCTGTGTTTGCCTTGAGTCACTTTTGTGACTTTGAGGATGCTTCTGGCTTCTTCAATAAACAATGTTTGATCACATCTTCACTAGTGTTTATCCATTTTGTCCAGGCCCAAATCAGACCATCAAAGCCCTACCAGTGACAAACACAGCATACTATTGGGAAAATCTGCAACCAAAACCAACAAGAACTCTTACATTTCCAGGTTTGTTGAACATTTTATTTCTTTGCGTGTCTTTGGCAAAAAAAAATGTTACACACCATAAACAACGCAGCACTTGGTTTTATAGAAACCCGTGCAAGATATTTTAGACTGAACACCAGCTTTCACTTAACAAACATTTGTTCTGACTGATCATATGTCACCAGATGAATTACGTAATTTAACACATCCGACCCCTCATTGAAGGCATCTTGTTGTTGCTGAGACATATATTGTATTGACATGTCTGGCTCTAAACATTCATTTTATCTCTTCTTCCCATGTCCATCAGGCCCAAATTGAAGAACATTGACAGGAGCACCGCTCAGCAGTTGGCTATTACTGTAGGGAATGTGACAGTGATCATAACAGACTTTAAGGAGAAGAGCCGTTCTTCCTCCACGTCCTCATCCACCATTACATCCAGTGTGGGCTCTGAACAACAGCACCAGAGCTCTGGCTCAGAAAGTATAGACAAGGGCTCTTCACGTGCCTCAACACCTAAAGGCGATCTCTCTTTGGGGCATGATGAGTCATTCTGAAGCTCCCAGCCCTCCTCCCTCACCCTGCATCACGTTTTTTCTTTTTCCACACTTCTGGACATATGTAGGGGGAGAGATACCGCTCCCATTGCTGCCCTGCCTTCAATCCATGACCAACCCTGGATGCTGACAGTAGCTGGCTGCCCTAAGAGGAACAGTGCAGTACATTTGCCAGAGAAACAAGCACCAAGCTTGGGGAAATTCTGTCATGGTTACACCCATGACACAGGCAAGGAGAGTTAGGCGAAAATAAATAACGCCTCCATATCCAAACTACCTTGCAGTAGCACCCGAACACATGTATGTTATGTTTTATATTTGTATGTGGATGTGAGGCCAAGTTGACATTTTTTTGGTAAAGAGGAATTCTTTGCTGGGCACAATAACCAACATCATTTATACGACTTTTAACTATTATTACTCTTATTTATTACCTGTTGCACCTGTATATTTTGATGTTCTCCTTTTTATGTTTAAGCTTTGCTGTGCAGCACTGCTGATCGTTCATCTCGTCAATGTTTTTATTACATTCTAGAAAAGATAGGACAAGACTAAAGTCTGACAGACACATCTTACATACACACTGGTGCTAGATACACTGTGAAGCTTTTTTGTAGACCTGGGATTTTGCATACACATTCACTCAGCGTGACAAAGTGTTGATGAATCTTATTCTCATTCACTTTGCTCAACAGCACTGTCTCATTCTGAAATTTTCAGGTCCTCAGATATCTGTTCTCTTGTTTTGTACAGGTCAATGTGCATCAAAAGACTGTCACCTGAGGCATACATATCTGAATTTTCAACTAGATTTTCATTGATTTAGTATGCTACAGCAGATCTCCTATACAGTATATGATGTCCTTAACTTTACAGTGTAGGCTATTATGTAAAACACTAATAGCTGTTATGTTCTGCATTCCATGCTAACATATTGAGTTTACAGGCTGAAGTTACTTGAGCTGGTTGTTCTGTTGTGACTGAAGAATGGATACATACAGTTCCACTTGGTAAATCCATGTCAAACTGTTCAAAGGCAAGTTGTCTCAAATTGTAGAGAATCCATTTTTCGATTGTTAAACACAACTTAAATGCCTTACTTGAAAAAAAAAAAGCAACCATCAAACAATTTAGCACAGAATGATAATTCAATTGACTTAAAAATGTTTGCTGTTTAAGACTGGAGTCTTCAGTTATATTTTAAGTAGTAAATAGAATAATTTTTCTTCAATTTTTACAACAGCAAGACATATTAAAGGGATTGAATTCACTTTTCATCATAACGGATACTAGACCGACCTAATTTCCTTTTAAATGTATGAAAATGTATAAAGAATAAATGTGTATATGATATCTTAGTTTTATTTATTGAAGGACCAAAGGAATTTCATATTGACATGCTAAATAGATAACAATTTGAAATGCCATTATCGTATGTATGAGATGAATATCAACTTAAATAAAGACTAATATAATCCATGTAAATGGTGTTCTTATTGCATTATTGGTAATGGAGAACTATAAATCCAGTGAGCCTGAAGACCATTGTCAGCTCTAAACCAAGTAGTGGATCTCTTACCTGAAAGGGCTAGAGATGAGAATCATGACCCATAAGCAGTATTTGAAGCCCTAAAGATTTTTTCATGATGTATTTCTTCCCTTGACATGTGGTTCTTTAGTAATCAATGGAATACAAATATGGAATCAGAGTTCATGGTCAGGGAAATAATTGAACTTGATATCTGGACTGTTAGCTCGCAGGGGAAATGATTAGTCAAACTTCTCAAATAATTAAAGGCTGCTTTGTTTAAGGATTGGTGCCTAAACACAATAATTTAGCTGACATTTTTGCAACAGAATGCCCTTTACTGAGTACCCAACAGAAAGGCTTATTTGTTAAATTACAAAAAAATAAAGACTTTTAAACTATGTTAAAGAGAAACACTATGAAGGCATAGGATCTGGATTCTTTTGTTTCCTTTCTCCACGCAAGCAGTTTTGTTCTTGTGTGTGACCAGTAACCTTAATTTACTATGTAAAGATGGTTACAATTTTTTTTTTGCTTTGTTTGTAAGAGACAGCCCCCCCCCCAAAAGAATATGGCTCATTTATTAATTTAATTTAATATAATCTTACTACGAATTTCAAATTATTGTAGTCTACAAACTGATTTATTCATATAACACTGTATTTGTACAATGCTTTTAAAGTACGGTAATTGCTCAGTTGAATTTTTTATTTTTTTTTAAAGTTAAGTACAATAATCCATTCTTGTTTAATCCAGGTTTAGTTATCCTTTTTGTGTCATTGCTTCCCTTTGTGAAATGGTCAAATTATGTTTCTGATGTGGAAATGTGCGCAACATTTTCAGTGGATCATGGCTTCTTGTCAGGCTTGTAATGATAAAAATAATTCATGTTTCTTGCATGTGCACGACTGCGCTTAAAGGCTAACGTGATCGTTTTCCTCTGCTTCAAATAGAAATGTCTATTTATGAACTTTGCTTGTAGTTTTTCACAAATAAAATTGTTAAACATACCTTTTTCTGTGCCCTTTGTTGATGCTGTTACTAACAATATACAGTTCACAACTAACCAACTTTAAATAATTTGAAGGAAAATATATAATTGACATGTTCTTTCAATACAATATTTTTGGCAAAAATAACATTCTTCAAAAATTACACTTCACAAAGTGTAACTTTTGGGTTAGATCATATGAGCCATTGTAAAAAATTCCTACCCTTTTTTTAGTAGTACATATAGAAGATACCAGATAAGAGTGGATCTGAGATGGCAGACTATTGATTGAGATAGTGGTGAGGACGCTAGCGTCTCAAACACCACCTTTTCACCAAAGCATTCAGCCTCAGTTAAACTCTTCATTTGTTTGTTTTTGTGTTATCTTCTTTCCTTTGTTTTTCATTTATTTATTTTTTCTTGTCTCCTTTTACTGCCCCCTTTACTACTGTAAAGCATCCTTGGGTTTCTTGAAAGGCACTATATAAATCCAAGTTATTATCATTATTATTATCAAAGACAAAGACTTCACTGTGCAGATACACATGACATTAGTTGACATCAGCCTTTTAGCATGTCCACATACTGAGTGGATACTCAGACCCTCCAGCCAGTCAGTCCAGCCAATGGTCATTAAAAGATATGAAGTACAGAGAAGAGATTTGTTGATGCACACATTTGTTTTTGATGACTCAATTTGGTAATAATTACATTTAGATAGTAACAGCTTTTCTGTGTTTACCAACTACTCCTCATTGTTGACAATGAGAAATAGTGTAGAGGACTGATAGAGAACTTCTCCACATTGTAGAACAGCTACCACCTGCAACCTTAACATCAGTAGGACAGAGGAGGAATACTGTCCCAATTATCCAGGGCAGGAGGTGGAGAGGGTGGACTAAAAAACAAGTATGGCAGTAACCAGCTACGAGGACGCCGAGGTGTGGACCTCAGTACATTTTTTTTAAACAAGACAGCAAAAATAGTTACCAATCAATGTATGAAGGGCTAGATGGCTTTTACTTTTGAGATACAGAAACACTGCAAAGTAACAGACCTCCTTGCACTGCCTCTCTTTCTCGCTGCGCTTAACAAGCACCATCTAGGTGAGCAGAGAGAGACAGAGAGAGACAGAGAGCAGTGTCTGCTGTTAAGACTCGTTGAATGTATCTGTTTCAGTGTATGCTTTTCTACTTCAAATGCCGTTCTTTTGTTCTTTTTGCACAGTTGCTTGCTGCCGATGTGATTGTGCGTTCTCTCTTGGTTTTTCTGCGTCTTAATTCGTAATCTCCCCACAGTAGCAGTAGCCCACATGTTGTTACAGGACGAAGTGAAACTTTTTTAAATGGGAGTATTGTTATTCTGCATAAGCCCCCGAAGGCTCAGCTAGGGGGAAAAAAAAGCTGCTCTCTTATTCATTCAAATTTTTATTTTTAAAGATGTATTTTTGTTTTTTTATGCCTCTGTGTCTGTCTGTTAGTCCGACTCTGTCTCTCTCTGTCTCTCTCTGTATCTGTGCCATCAAACTGTGACCCCTCTTAAAACGAAAACAACCACCCAGAAAAAGGATAAAATATGATCACTGTATGACCATGTGTCACAGAAAATTAATCACAACTGGATCATGTTTACATTTTCATATTGTTTGCCATTGTCGTACTAAATGATATATCAGCTTTACATACAGGCTACTTGTATAGGCTAAATAAACTTTGCAGGGCTGAAATAATGCAGAAACAACTGTCCAGTCCATATGTTTATACAGCGCTCAATGAATGCATTCATTATTGTGAATAAGACACAAAAAGGAGAAGAAGGCTAGATAAGAATTACAAAGTTATGCAGAAAAGACAAAAACAGGTGAATAATTCTACTCACTGATCCACCCGCCCGTCTGTCCACCATGGGTCCAGGGCCTTCAGCTGCTCTGCCCCCCACCTCTGGAACTCCCTCCCACCGCACATCCGTAATATCGACTCTCTCTCCATTTTTAAATCACATCTCAAAACACATATTTTTAAACTGGCATATTCAGTCTAATCATTCTCCATCCGGTCTCATAAATCCTCTACGTACTGTACATTTGTGTTTTTAATGTCAATTTTATTGATGTGTTGTTACTTTGTTTTTATCGCTGCTTTGTAGGGTGACCTTGAGAGTTTTGAAAGGCACATTTAAATAAACTGACAAAGACTTCTTGAAGTTATGGACCAGGCGTTCTGCCAACCCATTTGAGGCTGGGTGATAAGCTGGAGTTTTAATGTGTTTGACTGCACTCAATTTAAGAAATTACTGATGAAGCATCCTAGAAGCAGAAGCTATGGGTTTCTCATCACAGCCAGGCATTTTGTGTGATATAACAGCCCCTACCCCCACTGGTGAAGCATCGCAAGCTAATATGAGCGGTAGATCTGGGTTGTAATGTCCAAGAACTCTGTTAGAGAGAAGTTGCTTCGTAGCATCTTCAAATGCTTTCTGGCATGACTCTGACCACTCCCACTTAGCATCTTTATGCAACAACCCAGTCATAGGAGCTATCAGGGTTGAGAGGTTAGGAATGAACTTCCCATAGTAACTCAACAGTGAGAGGAAAGACTTCAGTTGAGTGGTATTAGTGGGAACTGCTGCTTTAGCAATAGCCTCACATTTAACTTGCATGGGGTGCATTCCCTCTGCATCAATGACATGTCCCAAATGAGACACACTGTGCTGAAAGAAATCACATTTTGCTTTTGTCAACCCGAAAGTTGTAGTTGTTAAGTCTTTTTAACACTTCAAGATTTTTCATGTGTGTTTCTGTATCTGGCCCTGTGATTAAAATGTCATGTAAGTAGCAAATGACACCATCAAGACCCTGAAGGACTTGATCCATCAGATTTTGAAAGATTGCAGGTGCGCTTGCTACACCATAGGGAAGTCTGTTAACTTTATACAGCCCCTTATGTGTGTTTATAGTCACTGTTTAGAGCTCTCTTCTAGCTCCACTTGTTGATAAGCTTGTGAAAGATCAAGATTAGTGAATCTCTTACCTCCTGCTAGTTTTGTGAAAGGATCCTGTGGTTTTGGTATGGGGTACTGATCTACCTAGAGCCATGGGTTGATAGATACTTTATAGTCCCCATAAATCCTTACTGTGTGATCTAACTTTGGAATGTTTACAGTAGATGCAGCCCACTCACTATACGTAGTTAGCAGGTGTAATTACTCCATCTGCTTCCATTTTGTTTAGTTGCGCTTCTACTGCCTCCCGAAGTGCATATGGCACTGAGCGGGATTTTCAAAACTTAGGAATGGCCCCTGATACAACATAGAGTTTAGCTTTGAACCCTGTCACCTTTCCTAGACTTGGCTGAAACACCCTGGGTATCTTTCAGTTCGCTCCTCCACACTCTCAGGTTCTACTCTGTTTACAGAGGACCAATCCAGTTTCAGCCTCCTGATCCAGTCTCTCCCCAGTAATGCTGGACCATCCCTTTTTACCACTAATACACTTATTGTTCAACTGATTCCATTGCACTTTACATTTACCAAAATGCTTCTTCTCAGTCTAAGTGAATGTTTGCTGTAGGTTTTCAACACACAGTTTGTGGGCATAAGTTTTAGCTTCTTAAACCTACCTTTTTTACAGTTTTTCAGAAATTACAGATACTGCAGCTTCTGTGTCTACTTCCATTTTAGGTGTTTCTCATTTACCCTTACATATACATAGTAAGGTTTTTCAATCTGTACATCACTTTCAGAACCGGAGTCCTCACCTTTAGTCTCTATTGAAAACAGTTCAACATCCCTGATGTTACCTGTCCGGTACTCTGTAACAAAGCCCGGTGTTGAGTGAGTCTTGGTTGTCCCTGTGTTCTGTCTCTCTGGCTGAACAGGCTGGGTTGCAGCCTCTGTCTGCGGTGAGTCTACCTCCTTCTGCTGACCACAATTTTGACTTCAGACTTGACGAAAATGTTCATGAAAAAA